CTTTTTTGTCTATCCTTAAAAATAAAATACAAATTGAAACTAACAAAGCTAAGGTGCAAGTCAAGCTGTAAAAATAATTTTCTTGATTCTGGCTAATTTCCCTTGTTTTTTGGCTTTTTTGTTTTGTTTGTTTGTTTGTTTGTTTGTTATTTATTTATTTTTTGTCGTTTTTAGCGTATTTGCTCTTCGTTAATAGATAGTAAGTTAGTAATTAGTATTATTGTATTAGAATTCTTTTTTCATTATTTTGTAACAGGCTCCAACTCATCGGCTCCTGTTTTGTAAGCATTATCTTGTAAGTTAATATTATGTAAGTAAGTAGTATTTAACTTAGCAAGTTATATGTAAGTAGGTATTAAAGTTTTATGTAACTAAGTAAGTACTATGTAAGTCAGCATTATGTTTGTAAAAATAAAAATTAAAATTAAAAAAAAAAAAAAAAAAGGAATCATGATGTACAGTGTAACTAGGTGGATTTTCTTAGTGTTTTAATTGTTTTTAGTGGTTCTTAATATTTTTAATTAGTTTTTATTTAGTAGTTCTTAAATTAAATGTTTTTAGTAGTCTCATCTTAGCAGTTTTTAGCGTCTTTGAAATGTAATTATTAGAATAATATTATTATAAATTTTATTTACTGGACATCTTGATAAGACCAGCGTTGTATAATGCTGATAGATATCTCCAGTAGAAATAAAGCTATTATTATTATTATTATTATTATTATTATTATTATTATTATTATTATTAGTACCTGGATTTTTGAAAACCGGGGGTTAGCAAAACTATCAACTGTCGATTCTACTACTTGGCAATTTAAAACAATAAATCTCATTAAAACGGCCGATTAAAAGCTTTTATCTGACGCCGGACAGTAAGTTAATGGTCCCTAGAAGCATTCCAACGACTCCAAATTTAAAATGACGCAAATTTTTCTTCAGTAAATTGACTTCGCGAAGTTTCAAACTGGTGTAATTTCAGTCTAGAAATTATTAAGTTGAGTGGGCTGCAGCGAAAGAGTGCCTGATCAAGGCTTACATAACACCTTAAATAGCAAAACACTACTTTTCTTGCGGTTCGATAAACAACAGGAGTCCGCATAGAATAGACAACAAACTGAATGAAACGTAGTGCACAATTAAATTATCACTTTCTTATTTGCAAAAATCGGCCTATGGGTCAATGCCATTCGCTGAAACTAGATCTAGATCCAGTTTTCCTGAGTCGAGAGTCGCTTTTCCAAGGTACAATCAGGCCCGTTTCAAACGTCGGTCTACTGCCGTGCCGAACTCAATTGATCGAATTAAATTCGACTTTACCACGGCGGTAGCGCCACGTTTGAAACCAAGTCGTGCTACTGCCGTGTAGCACGCACTGAGCACGGCAAGCCTTGCTGTGCTACACGGCAGTAGCTCGACTTGGTTTCAAACGTCGTGCTACCGCCGTGCCGAACTCAATTCATGAATTATAAATACATTAGAATATATAAGTTTGCTAAACCGTTTCTTTATTTTTGTGTTTTGTTTTTGGCAACAGCCGTTCCATTCGACTGTCATTGTGTGAATTAAATTCGACGTCTGAAAACAAGTCTTGCTAATGTCGTGCTGCAGTCGAGCTACAGTTGAGCCGGCTTAGCAAGGCAGTAGCACGACGTTTGAAACAGGCCTAAGCTAAACACCGACGAAACAATATTAATGGCTGGCACAGAATATTTTGGTCAAACTGCAGTTCAACCACGCGATCACATACCGGTCAACACCATGCGGAAATCACACAATCACACACTTTCGCGGCACTGATAAGACTATCCACAATCACGCACAATCTTCTCACGTTTGACTTAACCGAAATATCATCGAATAACTCGGAAAAACTCAGCCTATTGCCAGATAAACACCTCTGGACTTTTCTCTTACACTCGTCTTATTCAAGTTCCCGGATGTAGAGTCACACGGTCGGCGGATCACCCTAGCCTTGTTTTCACACCAGAAAAAAACGACGTCTTGGCACGGGTCAAAGTTCACCTACAATTTTGCTCTCACCTAATTCATTTGACTCCTAAGAGCCTGTTCCCGAGGCCAAAGACTTAGTGGTCACCTTAGAAACGCGAACAATATCGTATCTTTCTGTCTCAGCCCGGATCAGGGTGATTGATCCCAAGTTTAGCCAAATGAAACGAGAATATGATACGATATTGGACGATGCAGACTCTGCGAATGGTAAAAACTTTGTCCCATCTCAGAGCTTTACATGATGCTCTCCGGGAAACTTTTCGCAAGATGACCAATAATATCTAAAAGTAAACTGCTAAACGGCACCGACACGAGCTTTAGGCGCGCACTGTTTTCAATAACTGTCACTTGTGTTATAAAAGAATTCTGGGTAGGGAAAAAAAATAGGAAGTTGGGGGGTGGGGGAAGATAGTAACACTCTTTCCATCCACTTCTACACAAATCCCTAACTACAAATTAAAACAAGTGGAAAAAAAAACAAAACACATAAGTGAACATTACAGTAAACAAGCTATTAGACAGGGGAAGTTGGGAAAAATTACAAAATGTTTACTAACCCGGTTTTCATAACTCCAGGTAGATTACTATTACTACTATGTAATTTCTTTTCGAGTGTCTTGTTGACGCCGATAAGAAACGAATTACAGATATTCAAAATGCGACTATACAAAGCTCTTGTAAAGGATCAATAAAATATTTGCTGGAACTAAGCGTTTGAGGCGTCGAAGAGCAGTTATCTTAGCGTGTGCTTTCCTTAGCAATATATTTATATGTTCCTTGAAAGATTACTGATTGTCCAAGTGTACTCCAAGAATCCGGCTTTGAGACTGATGGAGGTGCCATTAAATACTAGGTCATAAACGTAAGACAAGTTTCCAAGGATCATCCATTGCGTCTTCACCCATTGGCCTGAAGATAATTGTAGTCAAGCCAGGATGAAATACTTTCCATGTCTTTATTTAAGGTGTATCGATCGGAAGCAGAAATGGGCTGTTGTCCACCGCGTATATATTTGGGTATGTATAGTGTCGTCTGCGTAGAGGCGGAGTGACGAGACGGTAACTGTTTCGTTCATGTCATTCATAAAGATGTTAACTAAGACGACTACCCTGAGGAACACCATGCACAGCGTAGGGGTAACCTAGCTTGGATTGTTGCATATTACCCTTTGCTTGCGGTCATGCAAATATGATCTTATAAGCTGAAGGGCTGGCTCTTGTACACTATATGCTTTTTGCAAGGAGTAAATTATGGCAAATACAGTCGAAAGCCTTTGATAGATCGATGGTAGCCACACCCACATCTTTCTTTTCGTCCAGAGCGCGTCTCCAATCATCTGTTAATTTGATCAACGCTGTAGCGTAAAAATGTCCCTTGAGAAAGCCTGACATTTTAGATGAGAAAGTTGATGTAACGGAAGTGTACACTTGATCAAACATTACTTTTTCGAAAAGCTTGGAGATTGCGGAGAGGACACTGACAGGTCGATGATTGTTTTTGTCTGTCGTTTCACCCTTTTGTGGATAGGGGTGACATTACTCTTTTTGCATTCGCTAGGCAGAGCACTAATGCGGATACAGTGATTAAACAGATTGGCTGGTGGAGAGGCTATGGCTGGACCGGATAGTTTTATGATCTATATTCCGTAATGATGCGATTTATCAGAGTGGGGTACATGGGAAAGAGTTTAATTCGAAAATGATCGCCCTTAAGTTTCTGTGGAGAAATGAAATATTAGACGAAATATTAAATATGTACACACTAATTCTCGGGTCGTCCTGCACCTATCCAAAGCGGCTCTCTGATTGGCCATCTCGCGAGAACAATAGGATTTTTTATGGAGAAATTATCATGTATGCATTAGTTAGACAAGTATTTCCCATCACAATGAGACTCTACTTCATAGTTTTGTACAGCCAAGCATATTTTGGACCCTCTTCCTCGGTTTACTCAAGTAAATTAAGGCATGGTTCAACAGCTATTTTCCCGGGAAAATGAAGGGGTGGTCTATAATATGAACTGTTTATCATGAAGCACAAAATACCAAAAATATTATAAACCACAAAAAAATTATATTTCAGAACACACTAATCACGGAAATTAGGTCAAGTGACCTTACAGCTCCAGAAAGTCTAAAAAATCTTTTTAAGAAACATGGGCACACTTTTTTAGCAGGAGTTATTTTACTTAACTGGTACAAGAAAATACAAAATAATTAAGCCGCTACAAAACTGCGCTTGGCAGCTTTGAAATATCTCGTTTATTTTGAAAATAAACTGGTTTTCGACTAGTACCCAGTCTCCCAATACAAGTGTATCATTATAACATGCTTTTCCTTTAAAATATCTTGACATTGCCAAGCCCAGAAATGACATACCTAACGGCCTTAAAATCATGAAACTAGTAGAAAAATTAAGGAAACAAGAAAAAGTGTGCCCATCATCCAGGTAGAAGTCCTGGGCGCTTCTAGGATATATGACCTGAGCCTAAGCGCTTCTAGAATATAAAACAGTTTGTTATCACCTATCTAGTAAAATCCAACTAGTGGTCTATTATCAATGCTGCGTTCTGATTGGTTGAGCTACTACTAGGCTATATGTTATAGCCCAATAGTAGCGAAAAGCGCCGGCTTTTTGGCGGCAAAAAAGGATTAAATTCTACCTTTAAGTAGCTTTTTTTTTTTTATTCTCGATATTTTTGACGAACTAGTTGGATTTTACTAAAACAATTATTCGTCTCGCCCTCATGGCCTCTGACTCAATAGCCCATGAGGCCTTCGGCTATTGACTCGAGGAATAATTGTTTTAAAAGTATTCTATAATCTAAATTCTCCATTTAGGTGCAGCTTCTATTTCGAAGGGTTAGGTGGCTTAGAATAGTTTTCTGAACTGGTTTTCTTGCTAGTTAAATACTTATTACTTTAATTTGACTTATCGATACCATGCACCAATTTACAACAGCAAAAACTTTTGAAGTCATTTTTATCCGTCCTCAAAAAAAATCTAAAACTCGTTCATGGCATTGCTTAGCTGAAGGACGCTTCTCTGGCATCGCCTCCCAACACTCCTTCATGAGCTCTTGCCAGCAGGGAGGAGGGTCCAGGTGATCTTCTAGTTGTTCTGGACGACACCCGTTATCCACCATTCTGAAGAAAGCTTCTAGTGACGCTGATTCAGTTTTGGCGAACGCTCGATCTCCGTACCAGATCTCCCACATCATTATACCAAGACTGTAGATGTCTGCTTTACTGTCATACACCTTATAGTGGAACACTTCTGGTGCAATGTAAGCAGGGCTTCCAGCCATGGTACCAGTAATGTCTACTGCTGCTTTAGATATGCCAACATCTGTAACTTTCACTGAGTTTTCCTCTGACAGCTTCAAAGGAAACAGAAACCAAACTTAGAGTAGGATTTCATTATTCAAATCTACTATAGGACAAGGCGTAAAAGCATTTTTAAGAGAATAGAAAATAAATTAATTAAGAAATGACCAACTTTTTAACGCTTGCTATATTACGTAAGTCAAGACAAAAATATGCTAAACATATAACTAAAAATATATACACTAAAAAAAGTAACAATACAAACGTGTAAAAAGTTGAACGAAGAGGTTCGCCTAACTTTTTTACATATTCAACATTGTTTGACAGTTTTTTGCCAGTTATCGTTTGTATAAATATTTAGCATATTGTATATTGTTAAAATATTCCTATTTTGACTTATCGATAATGACGTTTAGCAGCCGTTACTTCTTTCTTTGATCTTCTAAATATACACTTATTTTTTTTCCTGACTCATTTATTGCGGATATCACTAATCCACTTATTGGCTTGTTAAGCAATTCAAAGAACGAAGATAAAGCACCGCTTTCGACCTTACCAAGACGTTTTCCAGCTTTAGGCCTCTGTGAACAATCCCTTGTCCATGAATGTATGCCAGGGCATCAGTGATCTCTTTGACCCATTGACGAACATTTTGGATGGCATCAGCACTTTTTGATTTCCCAGGAATTGACAGACGGTTTTTAAAGATGTGGTCCTGTAGGTTTCCTTTGCACCATTCTAAAACCAGAATGATTTTCACAGAACGCTGATCTGGCAGCAGTGAAGTGCCATAAAACTTAACAATGTGAGGATGGTTCAGCTTCCTAAAAGTAAAGACAGTAAAAGTATAGTCTCTGAAGTGGCTTTATTTAACCTCTCCTGCGGGGAATAAAGATCGAATTCAGGCCACAGATTAGTTTCATTCCCAGAAGGTTAAATACGTTTTGATTACGATAACAAAAAAATTTACTTATTAATAATTAATTTATCTGATTTATTTATTTATAGGCAAAGACATTAAAAAAACAAAAAAAAGTAAAGCCGTTGTCGTTTGGTCAAGCAATCTTTACAATGAAGAGGCCAACAGACAACTGTCCGACCACAGACCAGGCCACAGACAGTTTTACGAACGCCTCCATACCGATGCCCTTCAAACGTATCACCTCATCAGCTTTATTAAAACACCTTACTACTTTACTTTATGGAGAGCGCATATCCGTATCTATTCACACATACCAGTACAAACGCTCGCCCTGGAAAAGCAGGGTCGTATCCGACATCTCGGAACACTGGCCCCCTTTTATGTACCTTTTAACTGAGCTATATTTACAATGACCAGCTAACTTGATTCGATCCTCTCAAACAAAGACTCAAAAGTTTCCGTCAGTTAAGCATTAATCATAAAAGCAAGATAGTAAAACGTTTGACGCTTGAACAAAAAGTGTGCCTGCAGTGTCGCTCTATACTAGTAAAGACGCCACCAACTTATATTTTCTTGGGTGTGTGTCTGATTTAAGGTAAAACAAAGCGTCTTTAACTTTGACTCGCATGCTGCCATTCTCCACGATACAAGCATCTCATCTTATCTCATCTCACTTCATTTTGTCTCCGTCACACGACGTTTATCTTATGTCTCATGCGTTAAATACACTGCTCAATTGTTCGCCATTTATCGGCAACTAAGAATAAACGCACAGAATCACTGAGACATTTTTTCACTTTAAAATTTGTACTTCAGCCATAAAAAGGCTTGCATTTCTAGCATCGAGCGCGTCATTGTACAGCTTCAGGGCCACGATATAGGAGTCTTGATCTCTTTTCATCTCTCCTTGGTACACAGCTCCAAATGCACCGCGGCCGAGACGAGAAGAAGCCTCCTGTTTCCAGTTCAGATTATCAGCAGCGATGTCAGTGGCTCGAACTTCTTTGAACCCAAATTCTGCCAGGATCCCTCTGATAAGAGTACCTTCGTCCATTATTGGCTGGTAGCGATCTTTTATGTCTTTCTGAGAGCGTCTTTCCTCGAGAAGGTGTTTGCATAGCATCTTGTCTGCCTCTATCAATTCAGGCAGACGGGCTTCAATCTGCTCGAGGCAGACTTTTGCTTCTTTCATTTGTTCTTTTACGAAAGGTTTCAGCAATTCTTTATCTTTAAAGTCTTCAAGATACACTGCCGACGCTTCTCTCATGAAGGCACACTTGTCCTCTTCGTAATTCTTTATTTTCTTTCTTTCCTCTAACATGCTTCTTATAGCCACGATACCATAAATAGGAACGCCGATCACCAAAGCAACTAAACCTAGTGGAACCCAGATTGGACTTGTGACGCCGAAGACAACTTTTTCAGTCAAGGAGAAATTTGTTTCTAGTGAAAGTTGGACTTTAAAACTAATGCTGTCAGCAGTGATGGCGCTCTCAAGGTTCCGCAACTGTCCTTCGACAAAATTGTAGCGTGTCTGAAAGTGTTGCACAAGGGACGCACGAGCATTGGCAAACACTTTCTTATCTTCTTCCCACTGCTCTATGAATTCTCGAAGTCGTCTTGATAGCGCTTTTGTGATTTCGTTTTTTGTTACTTCCCAGGAGTCTTCTGATCTTGGTACTTCGTCTAATGTCCATGAGGTAAAGCGGACTTTAACTTCTTCCGACGAGAGGTACTCGGATAGCTTCTGCAAAGCGACTTTTGTACGTGTCTTCAGGTACTGATGAAGGTCAGCAACGACTTCACTTTTTTGTTTTTCAATCGCTTCTAGACGGTTAACAATCTGTCCCATCTTCCGGATAACTTTGTCGCGATCTCTGGAAGCATTCATTACGAAGGCTCTTGCCTGATAGATTATTCGAGAAAGGAGGTAATCCAACCATCTAAATGAGAGAACAAAAAATAAAACAACAATAATTTCATTTGTTAGCCTTACAGACTAAACAATCCATCATAATTTACATGAGTTCGCCTTTTTTTGCGATAAACACGGTGGGACCGAACAAGCTCATCAAAGCTTGACAATTTGGGTTAATTTTTACCAAATATTTTTGGCTTTAGCTCTTTCATTACCAAACTTAGCGTGAAAGTATAAACCATAAGGCCAATCAAATTGGCTTATTGGATAACATCAATTATTATTCATTCAAAATATTTCCCCAATTCTGATTGGCTAAGAGCACACGCAAAATTCACCATAACCAGTTACTGATGACCAAATTGAAAGAATTTTGTGTTTAACGAGAAAATGACGTCAAAAATGAAGCCCGCTACAGGTTAATGCACCATTAACCGAGAAGACCTGGGGACGAGGCTAAGTTGTTTTGGTTGTGAAAAAAACAATGGCGGACATTTCCCTCGTTTCAAGAGTGAGACTTACAGCTGGAACTAGGCGAAATAATAACTAAAAACATGGCAAAAACAGCAAGAAGACAACTCGGAGGGCGACATCTGCTATTTGGAGAATATTTGCGGAGCTGTACAAACCTAAACGTACACTATCGAAGATGAACTTAACATCGATGCAGGTAAGCATGTTTTAGCTATGTTTTTAAACTAGAAATTATTTTGAATGGATAATAAAGCAATTAATGATTTCGGCTTTCGTAGGATATGAAGAATTAAGCAGATCTCGGAGGGTGTTATGCACCTCGGTCTTCGGCCTCGGTGGATAGCACCCTCCTCGATCTGGTTAATTCTTCATATCCTACTTAGCCTCATTCATTAATTGCTAAATGTCAAATTATGACGTCACATACTCTGATGTCATTCATTCGATAATTCTTAAACTTTTGAATCTTTATATTTTTATATTCTTTTTGAGAGAAAAATTCAAGGCAAGTTGTGGGAGCTGAATATTTTTCCAATATCTCAAATAAATTTAAACTGAGATATGACGTTAAGAATTTCACTAAATTCGTAAAAGAAAAACGGAGTACCCCTTGTAAAATGTCTAAGTTTACCGTAAATGATCGATTAAGCTCCGTCACTCGAATAAGGGCCGCTCTCGAATTAGCGCCGCACCTTTACTGAAAATAATTTAATAAGCGCCGCGGCGCTAATTTGGTGTTTACAAATTAATGCCCCATTTTTCTTACGGCGCTTGATCTAAAGAGATATCTAAACTATATCGCTTGAGAAATAAGACCTCGACCAACTCGTAAGTTGTAAAGTTTTGACGTAGGGAAACTCTTAAAACAGGGTCATATGACAGTTCGAGGTGTACATATTTTATGTTAAATTGTGCATACCTAGTACGCGCCTCACTTAATTCTCTCTATATTCCCCTCAGTGTTTTACCCGTAGTTGAAATAAGCGCCGCCCTCGTATAAGCGTCGTACCTATAACAGGGAAAATGAAATAAGCGCGGCGGCGTTTAATCGATCATTTACGGTAAGCGTTTTATTGTCCAATCGCCATTGCTAATGATAATTAGTTTCAAACGTCTTTATTGCAGTCGAAAGTTAAAGGAAAAAGAAAAAAAAAGAAAATTCCTAACTGTCCAAATTCCATGGGAAAACAGTTTTGTAAAGTCATGAAATGACACGTTACCCTTTTTTGCTTTGCTTTTGGGCAATTATAAATAGTTTATGTTACCGGGAAATCAGCTTATCGATCTTGCAAAAAAAACTGTTTCGAATAAAATCAAAGGGTTCGTTTTTTAAGGAAAACTACGGTCCCTACGGGTGAGACTTAAATATCTTTCAAGTCCAATAACTCGAGTTTTACGTGTCGTAACGAAAAAGGGTTTTCAGTGTTTTCCTCCTGTTGTCAAGTTCTTTCGTTTGGTGGCGTGAGTCGTTATGACGTCAAACTTTGACTCTTGCTTCAAAAAAAAAATTTAAATTGTCTGGTTAACAATCTTAGTCTGTATGATTATGATGCCCCTGATAAAATCAGTAGGGACGGTCAATCGGCAGTCGACCGCGACACCTCGAAATTTGTGGCTTTGTAACAGAACAACAAGATTAGGAGGCGTTCTGACCAACGCGATAAGTGTATCAGGGAAAATACACTGATGCTTACTTCCAATGAATTTCCAGCCTGGCTTCAATACTCTTCAACACCATGAGCCTCAAGCCATTCATCAAATTGGAAAATTCATTTGTAATGTAGCCATGGCCCTGAGCTTTACTGGCTTTCGTTGTTGACATATGTATGATCTGTGATTCAGGATCAACCCCAGGCCAGCATCTTAGTAGTTTTCTGACGACATGATTCTTTACCTCGGTTACTTCTTTCCCCGGGACCTGGTCCCATTTGTTACACACAAACAAAGCGCACTTGGACGGCAATTCGCCCTGTCTTTCAAGAGATATGTTTCTGACTTCCTCTAATAATTTCTCAAGCTGCAAGAGCAACAATGACACATTAAATTCCTTATGGCCACCAAATTAACTGTTAAATTTTACTGAGCTCCGCTTTTGGAACGAGAATTTCACGCACAAATCTTTGCATTTGTGACGGAGATCGGATGAAAGATGTGGAAATATGACTTTAAAGTGGAAGGAAAAGATTTTTGTTGAGGGTCCAGACCTGAAAGTCGTAAGAAGGTGGTACTTAATTGAAAGTTCTACAGGTAGAGAATCTTATCTGGAGGTGAGATGCGAATTATTTTTCGGGGAATTATCTTGAAAGAAATTTGAACTATATTAAAAAGTTTCGCTTTGTCGCCGCGCAACGCTCCTCACCACAAGCAACGTCACTGCTTGGGAGATTACACCATTTACCAACCCATGATAAGAAACAATGAAATACGCTAGTACGCTAGAGGTACACTAATAAAACTATTATTCAGCTTAGTGTCAGGAGAGCTATTGTCCACTCTGCTATATTTTACCAAGAATAAAATCTACTAGTTTGGCGAATACTGTGCCATACGTACCCTGTCCTTCTGAACTCCGCCTGCATTTGCACTGTTGATGACATAGATGAAAGCAAACGCTTGGGGTAGATACTGTTTGACTATCTCGTCCATAATATCAGACTCGCCAATTCCAGGACTGTCAATTATCACAATTCCTTTCTGAAATACAAAAACAGCAAAGTAATGTTTGGGGGTGATAAAAAAGCACTCCATTTTTAGCAACGCGCGCGAGATCCTGTGAAAAATGTGGGGTTTACAACATGGGCGAATGAGCCCTATCTCCAAGTGAGTCATGCGCATTCGCTCACAGCTCTTCAAAATAGGGTGTTTTGACACTTGCGCAAACTCTCGAAGTCGCTTTAAAACCCCAGTCAGTTCTAAGTTTTTCAAATTAATCTCAAACTAAGACGACTATTCATGTACTTCAAGCAACTCAAGAATTCTATCTGCTTGTAGCAATATAGTCTGAACTGTACCGTACGTGACGCTTACTTATCTTCATTAGAAGGATTTGCTGTCAAGACCACTTTTCTTAGCGTTTTTGAAGTATTTTGGGATAGTGAAAGATAAAAAGCAGTCATTAAGTCATACAGTCATATACATGTATATCAAGGTAGAAAAATTACAATGGGCGACGAAGTCGGCTACCACGTTAAACTACCCAAAACCAACACCCATGAACATAAAAACGAGAAAACTAACTGGCCAACTCCTTGTCCAAGATTAACGCGAATCTAATGTAAAATCGTAACAAAATTAAGGTGCATAGGCTAAAGTAACAATCAAACTACCTCCAAGAGACTTTGAGGCCAAAAGAGTTCGATTTTTTTGAAAATTGATCCCCTTTCTCGATCAGTCTTCACATGGATGTAAGGAGAAATTTGCTGAAGGTAGTTTTGTTCTGTTGATTCCTTTAACTGGATAGTCTTTGTTGCCCGATCCTTTTCTTTAAAATGAGCCACGATTTTGCGTTCCTTCCCAAACTTAAGCTCGCATATGGTAGACGTTGTACTTAAAACTGAATATGGAAGAAGCTCCTCGCCGAGAATAAGGTTTATTAAGCTACTTTTTCCAGATCCCGTCTCTCCTGCAAAGGTGTAAAGTTACAGTATTAAAACATGAGCTATCGTATTTGGCCTTATATGAAACTTAACTCTCGGACGTACACGCAAAGTCATATCCCCACCGTGATACAAGTCAGAGGGGGCTTGATGAAACCCCTCCTTAGAGTTTTGGATATGTTGCAGTAATTCGAATAGATTTTACCTTTACCTTCAGGGGAAAGCCTTTGATCTTTTTGCAAGATGAGGTATATTATATGGGTGGTGGAGGCCTGTGACGTCACCAAATATGGTCGCCATCTTGGTCGCCATCTTGGATTTTACCAATAATTATTTTGCCCCCTATATACAACTTAAGGAATCCGGGATCCTGCCAACGATTGGAATCCGGAATCCCAGTTCCACTGACAAGAAACCCAGAACCCATGACCTGAAATCCGGAATCCACAGCCTGAAATCCAGAATCCAAGAATGTCTTGCCATTCCCTTACACTGGAACGACGTATTAGAGAAGCTGAATAATACGCCTGAATAAAAAATAATCAGTTCACCAGTGAACAATCAATTTGAGGAAATTTGTCCGAGAAACAGACTCGGTTCAATTTCATGGTTGTTATTGACTAGAGAAAAAAAAAAGTTTTTTAATTAAAGTTCAACTGGCCATTCCAAGGCAGGGCTAGGGTGATCTGACCAGCAACAAAATAACATCGGGAACTCTGAGGTTCAAAATCCGCAATTACAACTATGTTTTTCGCTGCCGTCAATCATAATTACGATCACAAGCAATGAACCTCGAAACACAAAAACACACAAATCGGATCAAAATCCACCAGTCACAAATCACAAACCATGACTTTTTGAACCCGTTGAAGTAACCTTCTGTTACCTAAGAGGTCCGCTAAGATGATTGACGGCAGTGAAAAACGCAAACGTCAGTTACCTTTTGAACTTCAGAAATTCGCGTGTTTACGAAGCGCAGTAATACAAGCGAGGTCGCTTTGGTTGCGCGAACTGACTTGCCGTCGCATTAACGACTTTAGTTGAAGCATGGCACCACAAAAGACCACTTGATTTGGGATAAGACCATGAATAGGCATAAAGCAAAAGGTAAAAATAAAAGAGGCTCCCTGTTAGTCAACCCTCTGAAAATGTCAGTAGCACGCTTTGCATAATCAGATTCTACATCCAAAAGTTAAGTCGCTCCATTTTTTCAAGACTGTTTAAATTCTGTCAATCAGTTTTCAGTCAGTGTATTTCAAATATTTTAATTCGACAAATTGTGACAAAATTTATGACAGGGGGTAGTTGATCCGAAAAATTCAAGATGGAAGCGAAGATGGCGACTGATGGGGGGCTTAATTTGTTCTTCAATGCTCGGCCTTAAAACAATATTGTTTTTATTTTAAGTCGTCAAGTCAACAAATCGTGATAGGAGACTGAGATAAATAACTCGTGTTGTCGCTAAGTCCTGTTTCTACCACTGTCCTCGAAGTCATTTTGTTAAAATCCTTCTATTCTACCTATAAAACGTCCTAAACCGTATTTACAGAGATGTTTTTCTTTCTCGGGGAAGGGTTAGTTTTGAGGGGGGGGGGGGGTCTAATTTACTATTTTAGCCTCAAAAGGGGTTGAGCACTAATTAAAAGGGGCGCTAGCTCCAGTATTTACGTGTAAGATTTCATAATTTTTTTCCCTCGGCTCCTTTCAAAGTGTTTAAGATAAGTGATTCTGACCTGCCACAAGCACAAAGTATTCTTTTCGTGTCAGTTGCAGTTTGTGATTTTCCATCTTCCCCTCTAAATTACCTACACTCTGCTTTAGCAGGGCGCGAATTTTGGGGTCCAGTTTATCAAGTAATTTCTCGGCTTCAGTGTAAAGACTCAGCAAAATTGTTTTTTTCGTTTTATCATCTTCTTGTGCATCTGTTAAGATGGAAAACGCCTAGAGAAAAAAGTTCAAAAAAACAAAAACAAGACAAACAAAAATGAATTATAACCAATTTATCAGCCCCAGAAATAATGCAACATCAGTTAATAAACAAAAAGTCATAGCTTAATTTCATGGTGTTTGGATATCAGAATGACGCAATCATTCTTGTATCTATCTCTTTATTTTTCGCTGTTTTTAAGATATTTTTCTCAAGCTTCAAAATTCAGTTTCAATGTCGTTTTTAGTTTCATTGTCGTTTACAGTCGACAAACCAGATGTTGTTTTGATGGCAACCTTGCAAACATTGTTGTTAGTGAATTGCTGAAGTCGGTTCAGAATAAAATTAAACTGACAAGTTGTTAGAGCTTGACTGGTATGTGATATTTATAATCTTCATGCGTTATTCGACATTCTTCAAGTACAGTTGTGTCACCTCGGAAACAAGGAGATGACGCTCATGATGTTTTGCCTTTTTCCACGCATCAGTAAACAACTCAGCCTGCGTTGATGCGTATATCAAACAAAGAAGAAGAAAAGCAACAGCGATCTAAGGAGCTCCCGGGATAGGTGCGCTGTCGTATAGTCGTACTGAGCGCTTAAGATTTTTAGTTTCCATTTTCTGTTAAAGGATCTTAAAGGTACTAGACTTTTGCATTAGATATTGAGGAATAACGCATTAGTAAATGAATGTGCCATTTGATATCAGATTTTGAGTAAAGAATGAAATGTCAAATGTAATCGAGTAGCACGCAAAACCTAAACTTCTTAGAAACTAAAACGAAATATCAGGCATTATTTAGTCCTCAGTTTTCTAGAAAGAATGATCATTTCCCCTATTTATTAGTTATACGCATACTGCAGGTCTCTGGTTCTTCGCAAACAAAATAAGCAAAAGCTAAGTCCGCCATAAACGGGATGTTATATCGGCTTGCAGGAAGCAAATGTCAGCTAGTACTGTCTTTCCCATGTAAATGATTTCGCAGTCATGTATATGATAAATTTAAGGATAATTGATCAGCTACGCATTCAAGTAACGAATAACCGAAGTTTCCAATGGATGTGCAATCAGCCAGGAACCTTAAGCGATGTTCTTTAAATTGGACAACGACTCGAGTACGAGATCGCAGGAGCACGAGTAATAGTTTTCAAACCAGTCAGTGAAACTCATGTACCTCACTACATGTGTGGCACAATTTCTCGGGTGAGATTTTTCGCTCCGACGAAATTTCGGCTATACGAATTGCTTGAGCGGATGCAAGACAGCGAAATTTCGTTTGACTTAGCGAAAATTCGCAGGCGTTTAACGAAATTTTCGTGGCGAACTTTCGTCGAATTTTCGCGACTGCCGAGAACTAAGGACGAAATTCGGCAAATTTCGCTCTCACTATTTTTGCACAGTACTGACAATTATTGTTGTGAATACAAGAAGCTCAAAATTCCAAAGCCGTACTCTTAATCGCTTTAATAATGAGCAATGCAAACGAATGGGCATGAAGCAAAATATTACGCTCATGTCAAACAGTGCAACGCGCAAATGACAAACGGAAATGAGGAATAGCAAATTCTTACCTGGCCTGCATTCCAACTGGGTGATTTTGAAGACTGGTTTATTATAGCCGTTTTTACTCGATCTTTCATATCTTGCAGCGTATGCAACCCTTTCGAAGGAATGTCAAGCGCCGCCATCACTTCAAACATCTCCCCTATGTCATCGATTTCATCGATGCTTTTTGTTTTACCCGCTGCCATTTTGAATGAGATTTCGGTTAAATTTGAGAATATTGAAATTTAACACGAAACAAGTGCTATTTGAGTGCGAAAAAACCTATTTCCCATGATTTCTACAGTGTAGATCAATGGTGCATAAAATCTATTCTAAGAATTGGCGTATTTGAGGTGAGGCAACAGAAATCCGGGGGGTGAGGATAGCTTACAACAGTGCACACGTACCGAGGAGGGCAGTTTCTGTTTCCTCAAAAAAAAATAACGACCTTGACGCTATCCGCAGTTTCAAGAATCTTTTTATCAGTTCAATCAGAACATACCCGAGAATTCAAAGCAACCATTTCCCTCTAATCAATTTAAAAAGAAATAGTAGTGTCTTTTAATTGGCTTCAAGGACAGCAAAAAATGACGTCTCAATAACAAAGTAAAAATGACCGTGATCAGGTTACGTTTTTCCTGCACTTGGACTTCCTTTTGAAGAGACAATGGAGACCAAAAAACGCAAAATCGAAGAAGCTGATGATATAGCTGATGTTACTTCCTTGATGATCCATCTAAACATTGCAACCAAAGATGCAAAACCCTTAAACAGGTGACATATCGGATGTACGAAAATCTAAAGGATCGGCGTGAAAATGTGGACCCGAATAAGGTATATCTTTCGTCTTCGCCGCCTGGTCAGCTGGACTTCCTTTCCAAATTAAGCGGATTGAATCCGCTTAATTTGGGAAGGAGGACTAGCTCAGTCGATTGATATCTCGATCGACTGTTTTTTTTTTTTTTTTGCAACAAGGATATGATTTACAGTGAATATCCTAATATTAAGGCGTTTTAATTTCTCAGGCGACTATCGATCGTTCATAACTCGACAGAGTATTAGATCGGTGCTTGCCCGCTGCCTCTTTAAAAAGATATTATTGATTCTCCTTATCTTCTTCATATGTAAAAATAGAGAGAATATGAGAAATATAATAACTTTGAAATAAGAATCGAGTCAATTTAAGATTAATTTGAAATGTGCCAATAATGACACGGATTTTAATTTTTTTCTTAGAAATATTCCGGAATTATTGGGGTATCGAGTGCGGACTCAAGCATTCGGAACTTGTACTTCGTACCACTATAACTCTTACATAAATATATCGTTTTCCTGCGGTTTTTTGCATGGTGGCATATGCTCTCTATTTTTGATTACGTTCATCGAAATCTGGAGGTATTTATATTTTACTTCATGCCTAGTTTCTTATATATGCAGAAACAGCGATGCTTTAACGCGATCACACTTTGCTAAACCTAACACACTTGTCAAGGTATCTTTTTCGATCGCACATTATCCCGCCGAACAGTTCTGAAAAGCTACTCAATATAATCTACAAGCTGGCACTATTTGAAGGCTGCTGATATCACATTGCACGGCTGTTGTAGTAAAAAAAAAATAGTTATTATCAGGATTTGTACATTTTGCCGAAGGCCGCAGTCGCGGGTTGGTACCGAGACGTTTTTCAGTCCGGGGATACAGTTATCAAATTTGATAACCCGGACCAAAACAAACCAATAACCAATCGCTGTTCAGATTCAAGTTCACGTGACATGTTACTAAGGCAACAGTTTAAAGTTCAACATGGCGTGAGTTGTTATCGAGTAGAACTTGTGATTGTAGCTCAAATTTCTCAAAAGGGAAGTTAAAAATTCGCACTGTTATTAAATTTAGAAAACAAACTGATTTTCTACTGGTTTATTTCGTAAGAGCTTCCTTTGTAGGCTTTTATGTGTACTCTAGCTGCGCCGGTTCGTCTGACTAAGTATTCGCTGTGAATGTGACATGTAATATAAAGAGAAGACAGACATTTCGTAGCAAAGAGGTTTTAATCATCTTGAGAAACACTTATAATAGTCAGATAGTAGTAATAATTCTCAGTTCAGTCTCAGCAATGATTTTTATTCTTAGCGTTCTGCTTTCTTGACAGATATCGCAGCTCCCTGAGGTTTTCATTTCAGGTGTACTTATCACAGTTCCAACAATCTGCAGAAACTAAATATTGATAAAGTTTTAATACTAATTGTAATCTGCTACTTTACTTGCGAAAAATACAAATAATTAACGGCTCTTGCCCTTAGTTAAGCGAAAAGGTCAGGCTGATCACAAAGTGGCAATGAAAAAACAGTCCAAACACTGTCGAGCATATTGAAAAGCTTAGATTACCAAGGAAGGAAATACGCTCAGTCAAAAGACTATCTCTACATTATAGAAAAACACTTAAGCTGGAGTCACAATGCATTTCTCCATTGTTGAAGCAACTTCAGTTTAAGCTGCACTTCATTCTTATAAACTCTCGTTTGACAAACAAGTGACTCCTGGGTTCAAACCTTTCACAATAAATAGAATGATTGACAACAACGTTGAAAACACAAAATGTCGGTAAGCGACTTAATAAGACGTAACTCAAGACCACCCCATGCACTTTTTTCTGTAGTTTGCATTGGAATAAACAGCAATTGCATCGAAAGGAAAGAGACTAAAGATCAGCTCTTTAATTTTTTGGACTTTGGAAAAATTCTCATTTACTAACCTAAACTTGAAGGCAAAGTTGGAAAACACACCTCATTCAAACGTGTGAATTTAACAGATTTAACCGTCCTGAAACTTCTAGGCCCACAATTTACTTCCATCATGGCTTGTTGCTCTTCACGTATGCCCAAGATGGCGAGCAATGTCTTCTTGCCAGTTTCCAATGGAATTATGGGTACATACAGCGAGCAAAAACGAATAAACAACGAAAACGGCGAACAGGGTACGAAAATCGCCGTTTTTCTGATATGGCCGCCATGTTGTGACGTAAGGTGGTTATCAAATTTGATAACCATCGCGGACTTTTATTTCTTCACTAGTGGAGCTCCTCGCACGCGAGCGTAGCTCCATAGCTAACAAAATTTGGTAAACTATGCATCCGAGAAAATTTGGTCAACGTCAGCGTGCGTTGCCCATACGTTCACTAAATGTAAGCCGATGTCAAGTGTCA